CCATTGCCCACTTTGAAGCTGGACCTATTGCTGAATTTTGGCCATAGATTCCTGATGGACCTCTACAGGCTAACCCCATAAGGGCTATTCATAGATTTGGTTGTCCAGCTGTCTTCCTTCCCATACCTTACCTCAATTACATTTTTCCACAAGGAATGTTCTGTTGTGGCAAACCTCCATAGCCACTTCATCAGCAGAGCATGGTTTTGTTTTTTCAGATTCCTAACCCCCATCCCTCCTTCCTTCTTGCTTGTTGTAAGGACATCCCATCTGACCAGATGGATTTCGCTCCTCACTGGCACCTTGCCATATGAAATTTCTTCTCAGGGCATCAAGTCTTTTTGCTACACTTGCAAGCATAGGAAATAGTGACATCATATAAGTTGGCATAGCATCCAATACATTATTAACTAGTGTAAGTCTTCCTCCCAGGGATAAATATTATTAACTAGTGTAATTCCAAGCATAGGAATTAATTTCTTTTCACACTTCTCAACTACATCATTCCAGATCCCTTTAGATTTGCTTTTTGCTCCAAGAGGCATTCCAAGATAGACTGTTGGCAAGGTTCCTACTCTTCCTCCTAGAATATTCACCAAGCTATGAATATCCATTACTTCATTAATTGGATAGATGAAGCTCTTATTCCAGTTAATGCGTAATCCAGAAATAGCTTCAAAAAAGATGAATATCACTCTCAAAATAAGCACCTGGTCTCTATCAGTATCACAAAACACCAAAGTATCATCTGCATATTGCAGATGTGTAACCTCCACAGACACTGGATCTCTATAATTTACCCTGAAACCCCTGATCCTGTTGTTAGCTTTGGTAGATTTAAACAGGATGTTTAAACCTTCCATTGCTAGAATAAATAAAAAAGGGGATATAGGATCCCCCTGCCTCAGACCTCTCTGTGAAGAGAAAAAACCAGCCGGAGAACCATTTATCAAAATTGAGAATTTAATAGTGCTGATGCAAAAATTAATCCACCTGATCCATCTCTCATCAAAGCCCATCTTTATTAATACTCCAGCAAGAATTCCCAATTCAGATGGTCATAAGCTTTTTCTATGTCTAGCTTACACAGAATGCCAGGTTCTTTGCTCTTCATTCTAACATCAACACACTCGTTTGCAATTAGGATAGCATCCATGATTTTCCTACCTTTGATAAAGGCTATCTGTTGAGTGTCCACCAATTTGCCAATGACTTTTTTGATTCTTTCTGCCATGATCTTTGAAATTATTTTGTAGAAACTTCATATCAGGCTAATGGGCCTGAAGTCTTTCAGTTCTTTAGCTCCCACCTTCTTTGGAATCAAAGCCAGCAAGGTGGCATTGAAGCTCTTTTCAAAGGTCCCATTTGCATGGAAGTTTTGGACAGCAGCAATAACATCTGAGCCTATCACTTCCCAGCATTGAGTATAGAAAGCCATGGTGTATCCATCTGGACCTGGGGCTTTATCCCCTGCACATGCTTTTACACTCTCCCAAATTTCCTGTGGGTCAAAAGGACTCAATAGCATCTGGTTATCTTCTGTATTGATGGTGGGACAGTCCCTTAGGTTGCATTGTGGACGCCACTCCTTAGTCTCTGTATATAGATTTTGATAATAAGCAACTATCTCCCTCTTGATATCTTTAGGATTCTCCACAATTTCTCCGTTCACTTGTAAGTTATCAATGTTGTTGTATCTTTTGTGTGCATTGGCAGTTCTGTGAAAGAATTTGGTATTTATGTCCCCTTCTTTCAACCATACAGCTCTGGACCTTTGCCTCCACAAGCTATCTCCTCCTTACTAGCATTTTCCTCAAACTCTATCAATAAGGCATATTTTTTGTGTTTCTCTTCATCATTCAGCATCCTCCATTCTTGGGTTTCCTCCAGTTCAGCTAATTGGCCAAGTATATTCAGTTTCTACATCTTCAAACTGCCTTGTATTGATTTGCTCAATTCTTTGAGTTTCTCCTTTACGACTTTCAATTTGAAAGCTCGAACATAATCCGGTCTACCTTCGCAAGAGAAAGATTCCCACCAGCATTTGGCTCTCTTTAAAGCCTTCCGTCAATAACCACCAATTTTCGAATTTGAAATAGGATTTAGCTGGTTCCCAGTTCCCACTTTGAAGCAACAGAGGAGAGTGATCTGATGTGACCCTGTGAAGTATAGACTGTTTGATGTTCCTAAACCCTACATCCCATTCCTCAAATACTAGAAACCTATCCAATCTAGCAGCAATAATGTGTTCAACCCCATTTTTCCAAGTGAAACTATCTCCCAACAATTGCAAGTCTACTAGCCCCACATCATTGATGAATTCAGAAAAATCTGCCATTGATCTGGTGAATCTGCTGCAATTCTTCTTCTCTGACGGGTATCTAACAGTATTGAAATCCCCACACACTACCCAAGGCCCAGTGAATAAGCCCCTCGCAGTACCCACCTCCCACCATACTTCTTCTCTTTCCCTTTTATCGTTGGGAGCATAAATACTAGATACATGCCATACAAACTCTTGTGTTTTACCACTGAACTTGATTGTAATGGAATACATCCCCACGCTACTGATTTCCTGCTCCCATACCCTACTATCCTACATAATTAGAATACCCCCCCCCTCGTACCACTTGCTTGTAGTTGAGCAAATTTCACCCACCTATACGCCCACAAGTCTCTGACAATGTCTCTAATTTCCCCTTCTACTTTTGTCTCTTGAAAACAGTAGACTTCTGCCTTCCAGCTGCTCATCATATTTTTTATCAACTCCCTCTTCCTATATCTATTTAGACCCCTAACATTCCAAGAAACAACTTTAATCATCATTTATTATCTAAGGCCATATAACCCCTGCTCCTTGTGCCATTACTTTTGAATTTGCTCCCGAAGTCTAAGTTTCTTACTTCTTTACTTTCTTTCTTTTTTGGAGTGGCTGCCTCCATTGTTAATGATGAAGACTCCATTGTATTGCGCCTCTTGCCATCTATTTGCATAAATAATTGGAAAGCTTCCTTCTCACACCCTTCGAATTCCATCCCAAATTCTTTGCTCAATTTGATAATATTCTGATGCACCCAAATTGGATCGTTAAAACTCTGGGTCCTCCTCTTCTTCATTGATTAGAGAGTTTAAAGGAAGAACATCTTCTATGCCCCAATCCCCCAAGAAATTCCCCTCCCCAATCTGCATGTCAGAATTGTCTTGATCGGCTGTCACTGGTTGTTCCATTCCGTTGATGAGAACCATGGCACTGGCACTGGCTACCTTGGTCGAAGGTTCTGCCTCTTCAATTCCTTCGTGATTGTCGACAGAGTCTTTCTCTATTTCCACGTCTGTTTTCTTTTCTTTTAGTTGAGATGGCTTGGATCTCTATAAGAAATGGGTCGTTAGTTATTTCATAATGGGCTAACTGGTTTGGGCCTTTGCAACATAACTTAAGAGAAGGGTATGCCTGTCTTGTGCCCAAACTAACAGATTGTTTGGGGCCCAAAATTTCAATTGCTGGCATGGGTATTTGGTCACACGTGACTAGCACATGTGCCCTAATTTTAGAACCCTCTCCTCCCTTCGATGAGCCCACGTGACCTTCCAGATTAGCCACCAATTTGAACCCCTTTTCCAGTAGGTCTCCGCTATTAACCGAAGGATATGGACTTCCTCTATTACCCAATAGACTATTGTCTTCATCTTCTTCTTCCTTCGAAAGCGCCGCCAGCACCGTCGCCGGTAACTCACACCAGATGGGAATTTTGAACAAATAGCCATCACTTTCTAGAAGTATCTCCCTAGGAACCTTACTCCCATCCCCCATCACTTTTATTCTAGCCCATCGGAGGTGGTTTTTGAGCATTGTTTCCTCCTACGTTTCAATCCATCCCCCACACTGATCTCCTATGGTTTTGAGCACTTTTTACGACCAAAGATTAACCGGCAACCCCAAAAGCCTAATCCACACCCAGCCCCTCTTCACCTCCTCCGGCCAGTAGCCGATGGTAGGGTTCCACCAACCTGGGCTGATTTTTGCATTCTTCCATTGCCACTCTCCATTGAACACATGCTCCGCTTCTTTCCTTGATGGGAATTCGAAGAGGTATTGAGAGTCATTCATCGCATGTACATTCATGCTGATGGAAGACTTCCAAGTGTTGCATGCCCATTTTCTAATGTCGTTCAAAGGTGGAGTTTCCTTTGGTGATATCAAAACTTTGCCTACTAAGCATCTACTCAAGACATCTTTATCTGTTATCTCTGAACCTCCAGGTATTGTGATTTTGGACCTACTGATTCTGATAGGAGAGGATTTTGTCCCTTCTGATGACCATCTGTTGGTTCTGATTGCTTCTTAAAAGATGACTCCAGACGGGGGGAAGTTACAATCTGGACCTTCTTCTCCTTCTCAGGCACATTTATGAGTCTTAGGATCTTCTGGGCTATGTCACCCCACCCAGCATTTACTGTGATTTTCGGTGTAATAATAACTGACTTGTTATCCCCTTGTACTGCAATAAAACTGATGTACCTACCATATTCATTATATTTAAGGCTGCAATAATATTCTGTGTAGTGATCTTTCATAGACCATCTCTTTATTGCCCTGTTGTGTTCCTTAGAGGCCACCTTAAATACATCTGTCACCCATTTCATCACTTTAATGCTAACAGTTGTTGTCCTCATTAATTTCCTGCTGCGTTCAACCCATTCGAACCATACTTCTGATCTAGTTCTATTTTTGTGATATCAAAAGATTTGAATCCCGCGTTGTAATATATCCTGTTGCTGTCCATGTCTTAAGGGGAAAAATATGAGTAAAGAAGGGAATGAAGAAAAGGAGTTCTGGTAGTTATTGCACCGGAAAAAGCTATCTACAGTCCTAGGAAGTAGGAAAGAGAGTTATCTCGGGTAATGTGCCTGGGAGCATTTTTGAACAAAAATTTTTCATCTCAATATTTCATGTTACATTCTGATTATAGATCTCTACATCTCGTAAGGAGCTCAAAGAAGACCATATTTTTTGGTAAACAAGCCACTAAGCCTCGAAAATCCCTATGCACTAAATTTTTATCAAACACGAGGAATATATATTTTAAAACATCCATTCCCAAATATTGTTTATCGTCCAGAAAACAAATAAACCACCAATTAGCAACCAACAAAAAAAGATGAGGTACTATAAAATAATCATGTAAAGTGTGACATTACCTGCACTTTGCTGAGGATTAATTCCCACTCCATCTGCAACAA